AAAAAAAAAAAAAAAAAAAAAATCAGTTCGTTTAAACCTGTGGGGAAATACCATCTATCCCCGTGTGAGGTACCGGGCCTGTGAGGCAAAAAAAGAAACAGGCTAATAAAAAAACAAAAACAAGAAAAGCCGAAGCAATGAAAAGCAGCACAAGTGAACAAGTTACTCGCCTTAAAGCGATCAATATTCTCAGTCTCAGAAAACGGAACGAACGATTTGACTAAAGGCCCTAATATGTGCACACACCCGGAGTATGGAAGGTGAGTGGGAAGCAAGAATGAGACCTCATCAACCACGGTAGGGAGTCAGCAGGTAACTTCGGGGCTTCGCGGGCGACATGGGGGGCCGCCAGGCTCTGGTAGCCTTCGGCGCGGTGCTGGGCACTATTCAGTTGGCTTAGAACCTGTGATCGCCGGCACCCCCCATTCCAGCTACAGACACTGAGGCTCAGAGGGGCCGAGTGGCTCCCGGACCACAGAGCCAGGCAATTAACGGACGCGAATTAGCGCTCAGAGGGGTCCTCGGTTACATGAAAGGGGCCATGTGAGCTGCGACCCCGATCCGACTTCAATGGATCTTTGGAGAGTCCCGAGCAAGGGGGAAGAGCCGGGGACACTGAGGCCCGCTATTTCCCCGGGAAAGGACGACGTGGTGGCCCGCCTCAGGCGCCCCTCGCCCACGTCCGCTCTCTTCCAGGGAAGCCTGGGTTCCAGGGATGCCGCTCTCGCCCCGTTCCTCACCTGCACCCGAAACCGCGGTCCGTTCGCCTTTTCAGCCGCCACGACTTCGTCCTGCGCACGCGCGGCGCGGGCTGAGCAAGTACTTCCGGGGGCAAGCGGAGCAAGCGAAATACTCCGAAGGCGCGAAGGGGGCGGGGCTGAGAGTGCGGGCCGGAAGCCGAAGTGCGCATGCTCACTAGGCTCTCAACGCCCTCTGTGGGTCTAACTCGCACGAGTTGGCTCTCGCGGGAAGCAACTCGCTCCCCCACCCTTTGCCTGTTCGTGTCCGTTTCGGTAAATGGCACCACCAGTCCTGGGTCCAGCTTAGTGCATGGTTAACATATAACGACAATCCGTCTCGCCCGCTATCTCGTGCGCCCCATCAAGGTTCCACCCCGAGGCCCCCGGGGCGCCAGCGCCCCTCGCCGGTGATTGCTAGAATGGGCAACCCCGGGGGATGCGCAGGCGCAGTAGCTCCAGAAGAGCTTCCGGGACGGAGCCGTGGGACTTATTTGGCGCTACGGGACGACAGCCCGGAGGGCTGGGCCCGTACTCCTAGTTTTGGGTCCTAGGGCGCCATGCGCTACAACGAGAAGGAGCTGCAGGCGCTGTCCCGGCAGCCGGCCGAACTG